TAAACTCACCACAAAAACTGAAATATATAAAAACAATAACTAATTAATGGAGTGGAATGGCGTAGAATGTAGGTGTGTAAAGAGGAAAATTAAAAATAAAAATGAGTGGAAGAAGTTGAAAAGAAGTTGAAATGGTGCGAAGGGGGGATTTCTAATCAAATTTCGGGCCTAAATAGAGCCTAGGTTGGTTCTGAAATAGGTGCATCCACAACTCTTCAAAAAAGGGTCCAAATTCCTCAAATTTTCTAGAAACAGGGCTTCCACCGACACTGGCGTAGTCGGCGACCATCCTGGGGCCGTCGGCGCCCATCCTAACGCCGTGGACTCTAGAGGCCTATAATTAAATCCCAAGTTTCTGTCAAGTGGCACCGTCGACGACCAGTTTGGCACCGTCGGCTCCCAGTCTTGCACCGTTCGTGCTGAACAAATTTTGAACTTCTCCATTTTTGCTCCAAAATTAATCTTTTTTGCTTCCTTCTTGCTCCAAGTCCTCAAAATCAATAACCTGCAATAAAACATAGAATACACCTTCCATTAAAGTACAATATCACCAAAATGAGCATAAAATATGGTTCTAAAAATGCATATATTTTTGGTGTATCAGTATTTAGGCAAAGTCTTGCAATTGGTTCTCATCTTTAGATTAAGTAACCAACCTGTTGACTAGTTGGCCTTGCTTAGCATTAGATATGGTAGTGTTTTGGTGGATAATGTTCTTTGCAGTTATCTTTCCTTTTTGCTTCAGGATAATAAGTTATCTTTGTCATATATTAGAGACGCATTATTTTTGTAACCTCTTTTGAGCTTCATGGAGGTTTTTTTTTAAGAAAATAAATACATATTTTTTTTAATGATTCATCTAGAATGTAAATCTTTAATGCTTAATTGTTTTTGAAATCATTGTCTTATAGTGATGTGTTTTAGATCTCTTTGATCTTTAGGATGAGGTTAGGTTCGGTGACCCTATTAAAATTATACACTAGCCTTAGCCACACTTTTTGCACACATGTAGTGTATGTAACTAAGGCACCTTGCTTAGATACTCATTTAGAATAGGATAAGGTGTAGTTAGGTTTTTAATATGTCTCACTATTGTTCAATGGTTTGCGCCTAGCCACACATTTTATGGGTGCCTTTTTTGTATTTATGAAGTTTGAGACATGTGCACTAATATATTAGTTGCAGTCTTCTTACAGGGATTCATGTCGAATTGGGTGGAGCTCATAATTTAAATTAATATCTCTTATGCAGGTGCTTCTTAGCTCTCCTCCGACGGTACATGGTCAATTTTACAATTGCATAAAATAACATATACAAACTTTTTGATGCATATGTATTTTTCATAGAGACCATAGGTTGGATTTTTTATTGAGAATAAAGTATGAGAATGGGTTTCCAAGATGAATGATGTACGGAACCATGTGGTGAGGATCACATCTTAATTTTAAAGCCACATTGATGAATAAAAATTAGGATTAGGTATGTATATATAAAGCTTAACAACAATTTTATCTTCCTGAGATATGTTGCTAGCCCAGTGACTCGGCAAAATGTTCATTTTATATATGTTGTGTGTTTATTTCTTGTGTGTTTACTTCTCTATGTTTAATCCTCTCATTATTTTGATTGTGGTTTTATCCGGGCTCTTTGCATTGTTCATAGGCTCCTTATGACAAAATTACTACAAAACTTTGATAGTAAAAGTTTTATCTTATTCAAGCTTTAGCATTAAAATTTAATTCATTTTAAAATAAGCAATTTACTTTATGCTTTACTTTTCTTGAATGGCCTTCAAGTTGGATTTAAAATGGTTCTGCTTGCATGTATATATCCCAAGTCACGTTAATATGGCCTCCATATTATGAAGCACTTTTGCATGTCCAAAGGAAGAGTACTCTTACTTTTCCAAACTAACTAGCCAAGGATAAGTTTTCAGTCTTAACTGGTTGTCTAGAATGATTAGGACTGTAGACGCTCCCTGACCCATATGGGGTGTAAGTCCTTTATGTGATGGTTTGGCTTTGTAGCCATGTCATTCTTTTTTCTCTCACTTAAGAGACCTTCTTGTCACTTTCTTGGTAGATCTAAGTCTCATTTCTATGAATTCCAACCAAATAAGGTCATAGAGGATTAGATGTTTCTTTCTCTTAAATTTTGGGCTACTGAGATTTCTTGGATGATGCAACACATGTTGTTGATAAGAGATCTCTGGTCAGGTTGGGTTAACTACTTTCACAACCAGATTAACTTAGAGTCAAAATAGGTCACAATGATGGATCCATGGAATCTTGACCTGAATATATCTACCTACTTATGAATTTCTTAACTCTTTATTGATATGCCCCTTTTGATCTCATGTTATTCCTTTGACACATCATTAAGGACATTTCATAGGCCCAGTTTTATTGATAGATCATCGCTCATTTGAGATTCAGTGATTCACCCTCTACCCCTATAATTTGGTATGGCTTTGGAACATTGGGATGAACTTTTTTGAGATTATCATATTTATCCTTGATATTCCCATTCACTAGTTTTCATAAAATTTAAGCAAAATTTATTTAATTGAGAGTACACTTGGGTATCCCCCAAGATGTATTTAACCAAATGGCACATTCATTTGAAAGTTTCTCTTGACCCCAAAACAAAAAAAAAAAAAACACACATTCATTTGAAAGTTTCTCTTGACCCAAAAAAAAAAAAAAAATAGTTCTCCAGTTATATGTGATAATTTCTATAGGACCTTATTCATGGACATTCTTTCAAAGTGTTTTTAACATGATTTTTTTAGCCATATACTTTTATTCTATCACACAATGGTTTTATTATAGAAATTCTCTCTGCTTGTTTTTAATTTGTTTGTCTAGTTTTATTATATTTTCTCCCTTTCTGATTCCTCCTCTTCTCCTAATCTTTTTGATGGTTCAAGAAAGAGGGTTATTTGAAAAAGAGGAAAAAAAGATGAATATTAGATAAGTTGGTGAGTCTAGGTTAAAAAATACCAAAACAATCCCCACCTGTTTGAGATTAGAGATATTATTGGTTTTGTTAACCCTAAGATTATGATATAACTAAGAATCATGTTACCTTCATCATATGTAATCAAAAGTTGTTTCAATCATAATTGAATCTTAACCACACTCTAAAATTAAAGTCTAAAATTGTATTATCATTAATTATTTGTCGAGGATGTTGATAAAAACTTATTCAAAATTTAATTAAATCTATTACCAAATCTAATTTGAACCCTACTTTCAAACAAATTATAAATAATGTCAGGAGAATGCAAATGTGATTCAAGTAATTTTGGAAACATATTTGACTAAACTTCAAGTAAGTTTTAATCAAGATACGATCAATGTTAAGAGAAGATTTTAAAAATATTCAATTGAAGTTCAAACAAGGTGCAAACAAACATGAATATGGTTTGAATTGTATTTTTTTTACTTTATGTGATCAACCCATTTGAGTTATCATATTATGTATAATGATATTTACTTTTATTTGAGATATTACACTACTTGTGTTATAGATTGTTGGAGGTGTAATGAAATAAAATGTTAGATTAAATAAATATTGTAGTATTATTATGCACAATATTAGAGGCAACAATGTAATATTTGACATTATTCAGTTCTATTCTTCGTTGTGTTTGACAAGTGTGATTATGAAGATTGATATAAAGATGAGATTTTTTTAATAATAAATTGCTCACCATAATTAAACTAATTTGCTGTCATATTCTGCTTGATGAGAATTGTTTAAATTTTGATTATTTTCAAGAGCTTATATATTCAATTTATTATATGTAAGTTATACTAGTTTGTAGTAAATGTCATCTTTTAAAACACGTAGTTCTAATGTGAATAGATGTTTGGTTATATCTTGAATTGCACTTTGTTTTGTTATGACTATTTATTATACCTTTTTAGTTTATTGCTTACGTTAACATAATAACAACTATAATATTTTTCATTTTGACATATAGAGTTGTGCATTTGTTCTACTTTGGATGAAGTCATTGACATAATTTTAACTGAACCAATAAAAAATAAAAAAAAACCAATTAAATCACTGGTGGAGTTAAAAAAAAAATAGAATCGTAAAACTGTTCGGTTTGTATATTTTGATTTGCTTTAAGTGAATTTATAAGGGGTTATGTTGTAAACTTTTATCTTAACAAAAAAGAATGAATAAGATTATTTATGCATGGAGCTTTACATTGGTGAAATAAAAAAAAAATAAATAAATAAGATTATTTATGCATGGAGCTTTACATTGGTGATGGTCAACTCTTTTTACAGCATTAGACCAATGTGTAGCTAGGGAAATAAGCCACTCTCTTAAACCAAAAAAAAAAAAAAAAATCAAAACATCTTTAAATTGATAAAATAAACTAACCAAATATAATCTTCTTAATTCTAATTCCATTTAAACCAACTCATGCAAACTCTTAAATATGTGTTATAGTTTAGATTTGATTCAATATTAACTTGACAATTGTTATGTCATATCAATTGTGATATAAATAGTCATTATTGTATTATATCTACCTTATATTATATTGTATTATTACTTTTGTGATTGCACTCTTCTATATTAAATATTATTGTATTGTTCACTTATGTTCCAATGTGAGTTGAATTTTTCTCCAACTTCATTCCACCATTAAATAATTTCTTCATAGGCAAAAACATGAGTATTTTGATTCCAAAGAAAAATTTTCAATTAAATTTCACCAAGAAAATAAATCTATAACATATATATATATATATATAATTTACATAATACATGCTAATTATTTAAATTTACTTTCAAGAAAATTAAATTACAAATTCAGACCAACTTTTTTAGACCAGTATTAAATGCAATAACTTTTCAATGGCTATCTCACTCTCACAATTAATACAACAGCCATGGCTTTGACATTTCTACGGCGGAGTTTCCTTCAGAAAGGGCAAGTGGGAAAAGACTAGGTCCATGCTGTCGCACGCCAATGCAGACGAAGTTCCCCGCGGTAAGACTGACACAACTAATCGGATCCGCGACTTCTACGCGTATAAAATAATATTTCTCCGCATCTCTGCAGCCGGAAACACTATTTCCTTTACCCGACTTCATCTCTCAGGATTTCTTGGAGGAAGTCTTAGCAGATGTTGTGATCCGTGTAAGATCTCAGAGCTTGGATCTTTTGAGCAAGTAAAGCAAGATGGAGAGCAGTCTGAGGATGGCAAGCATAAGAGGGAGCATGAGGAGTGTGAGCCGAAACGCTTCAACATGGCGATCGACGAGCTCTGTCTTCGGCAGATCCATACGGGAGGAGGACGACGAGGAGGCTCTGAAATGGGCGGCGCTCGAGAAGCTCCCCACCTACGACAGGATGAGGAAAGGCATTATTACTGGAGCTGCCGGCACCCAGGAGGTGAATGTTCAAGATCTTGGAATCCAGGAGAGGAAGAACTTACTCGAGAAGCTGGTTAGGACAGCAGAGGAAGACAATGAAAAGTTTCTTCTCAAGCTTAGGGATCGGATGGAACGGTGAGTACCAAGTAAAAAAAAAAAAAAGAATAAAGAAAGAAAGATTTTGAAGTTTAAAAGGTTCTTAAAGAGTCATTATACATGTTTGTTTCAGAGTTGGAATTGATAACCCAACGATTGAGGTTCGGTTCAACAATCTTAACATAGATGCGGAGGCGTATGTTGGGAACAGAGGAATTCCTACTTTCCTCAACTTTTTTGTGAACAAGATCTCGGTAATGGTGCAATCTATTATTTTTCATAATCTTTTTCAACAAAGGCAGAATATTTGTATGTGTGTTTATACTTTTGTAGTGAAGATAAAAATACAACTAAAAAACCCCACACGAAATTTCTTAGATAGATTACCGATCATTTTGTGTTGAAATTTGTGCATTTGCATGAAGAAGTAGCTATCAATGATTGCGGTTTATTTTCTGTTGCAAAAAATTAGAAAAGCATGTGAATTTATTGGTGTCACAATTTATGCTATACAGTACCTTGTTCCCAGATTAGTTTTTTTCGCACCAGGCAGCGAAAGTCTATTTTTGGTAGAGGCTGTTTATTAAAATATCTAAACTTTTCATGAAAAAAGGAGTTCTGTCCCAAAACAGCTGAGTTCTTGTTAACTTTTTCTGTTTTTGCTGCAAAAATTTCATCTCAGGGAGTACTGAGCGCTCTGCATATTGTACCGAGTGGGAAGAGGCCAATTTCTATCCTCAGTAATATAAGTGGGGTTGTCAAGCCTTGCAGGTTGAAGAGTTTTCAGTTGCTTTTTTTTTGCGTGCTTTATTTTCGTCCAGTTCAGAGGTATCTAACAGTTAACTCTATTTTACAGAATGGCTTTGCTTCTAGGTCCTCCAGGATCTGGGAAGACTACCCTTCTATTGGCTTTGTCTGGAAAGCTTGATTCAACACTAAAGGTGCGTGTTGAAACTTTTTTCTTCAAATTCGTTACCCTGATTTGATTTGGTTTGCAAAAGCCTTTCATTTGTATTCTAGATAATGCCACATTACTCAGCTGTTTTTTCACATTCAACTGAGGAAACGTTTCTTTTTATTGGTTTGGGGTTAGAGTAGGCAGAAGTAAATTTCTACTAACTGAAAAGAAATTATGCTTGATGGGAAACACTGAAAACTATTGTTTTCTCAATCTCATCAGGTTTCAGGTGAGGTAACCTACAATGGTCACCGCATGGATGAATTTGTCCCTCAAAGGAGTTCCGCTTACATTAGTCAAAATGACATTCACATTGGAGAAATGACTGTGCGAGAAACATTGGCATTTTCAGCAAGATGCCAAGGAGTCGGAACTCGTTATGGTAGCTTGATAGAAACTTTAAGATTGCAGAAGTTCTCAATGAGATCTGATGGAACTTGGAACTTAGCTTTCTTTAAAATGATTTGCAGATATGCTTACTGAACTATCAAAAAGGGAGAAGGAAGCAAACATCAAACCAGATGCAGAAATTGATGTCTACATGAAGGTCAGTACAGGAAGAAACTTGCATTCATTTTGCATTACATGAAATTTAATTAGTTTTATTTGTAAAAATAATTAGAACGGATTAAATTCACAACGTGGTGACATATATTTGTGTTATTTTGTTACAATAGGCCATATCGGTGGAAGGACAGGAGAATGTTATCACAGATTACATTCTTAAGGTAAGCCCAAGGCATAAAATTTTTTTTTTAATTATAAATATTGTCGAACTTGTATTAAGAAAGCATACCTTACTGGTATTGTTATATCCACTTTCTTAAGATTTTAGGACTGGAAGTTTGTGCTGATACCATGGTTGGAGATGCGATGATAAGAGGTATTTCTGGTGGGCAGAAGAAGCGTGTGACTACTGGTTAGTTTGCACCCAAAGAAAGACTGACATATTAGAAGTCATTAGAAAAGTTGTTGCTAAAATGACACTTATTTTAACACTACTCGCTTGTGCTGCTGTATTCAAAATCCTGTGCAGGTGAAATGCTTGTTGGGCCAGCAAAGGCGCTTTTCATGGATGAAATTTCGACAGGTCTTGATAGTTCCACCACATACCAGATAGTCAATTCTCTCAGGCAATCTGTTCACATCCTTGGCGGGACAGCTGTTATCGCATTGCTCCAACCTGCACCTGAAACATATGAACTTTTTGATGATATCATACTTCTCTCTGAAGGCCAGATAGTATACCAGGGCCCAAGAGAACATATTTTGGAGTTCTTTGAATTAATGGGTTTTAGGTGTCCTGAAAGAAAAGGAGTTGCAGACTTCCTGCAAGAGGTAAGTAGTAGAAAGTAGAGCAATATCATGTTTTTTCTTTCAATAGGATGATTCAACAATGAGTTCTCTTTTTATGCATCAATAGGTAACTTCAAGAAAGGACCAACATCAGTACTGGTCACACAAAGACGAACCATACTCTTATATTTCTGTCAATGAATTTGCTGAAGCCTTTCAGGCCTTCCATGTTGGCCTCAAGCTAAGAGCAGAACTCAGTACTCCTTTTGATAGGAGTAGGAACCACCCCGCAGCGCTGACAACTTCTAAGTATGGCATTAGCAAAATGGACCTTCTCAAAGTGTGTACCTCTAGGGAATGGTTGCTGATGAAGAGAAACTCTTTTGTCTACATCTTCAAAGTAGTCCAGGTTTGTAAATAAAACCAGAAACCTAAACTGATAATGTTTGAAGTACTTCGATTCATAAATGATTACTTAATGTTAACTTCATTCTCTTCGTCTGCTATAGCTTATCATTCTTGGTTTGATTGCAATGACGGTCTTTCTGCGTACAAAGATGCATCATGAGGGGATAGAGGATGGAGTCATCTACTTGGGAGCAATGTTTCTTGGCCTTGTCACTCATTTGTTTAATGGATTTGCTGAACTTGCAATGAGCATTGCAAAGCTTCCTATATTCTACAAGCAAAGAGACCTGCTCTTCTATCCATCATGGGCCTATGCACTGCCTACATGGATCCTTAAAATACCAATCTCATTTGTGGAGTGTGCTGTCTGGATTTGCTTGACTTACTATGTCATTGGTTTTGATCCAAACATCAATAGGTTAGAATACACTAAATTACATATTCAAAGCATCAATATATGATGTACACAGGTTACTATTCTTTTGTGTAAGATCCTCACTACTGACCACTGATCAAAAACTGTTTTACAGGTTCTTCAAGCATTATCTACTGCTTGTTCTAATCAGTCAGATGGCATCAGGACTTTTTCGACTTCTTGCAGCTCTTGGGAGGGAAATGGTTGTGGCTGATACTTTTGGATCTTTTGCACAGATTGTGCTTTTGATCCTTGGGGGATTCCTTATTTCACGAGGTGCGTCACTTTTTTATGAACTCAGTATACTACTTCAACTTTTATTTCAACTTTGTTTTACTGAGAGTAGTCATATCTTGCAGAAAACATTAAGAAATGGTGGATATGGGGTTACTGGTCATCTCCTTTGATGTATGCACAGAATGCAATTGCTGTGAATGAATTTCTTGGGCACAGTTGGAATAAGGTAAAATTATCTATCTCAAACCAGATCCAATTCTTCCAGTCTTTTTTTTTTTTCGGTGGCCAACCTTAATAAAAATTATTTGCTACGCAGCATGTCCCAAGATTTAATAATACCCTTGGAGTTGAGATCTTGAGGTTTCGTGGGATCTTTGTTGATGCTAACTGGTACTGGATAGGGGTAGGAGCGCTTCTTGGATACGTCTTCCTGTTTAATGCTCTCTTTGTTTTATTTCTCGACTGGCTTGACCGTAAGTATCAAATGCATAAGCTTCATCTCGGAAAACATATATTATTATGGTTCTAAGCTGATAAAACCCTGCAGCTCTTGGCAAAGGTCAGACAACCATTTCTGAGGAGACATTGCGAGAGAAGCATGCTAATAGAACAGGGGAATCCATCGAACTACCTTCAAAAGCTCAATTATTGCCATCAGGGGCTGATTCTTCTAAGCTTACAGGTGAAGGTAATAACATGGTCTAGGAAAATTTTAGTCTCAAGAATATGTTTTTAAAATCACTTGATAATAATTTATATATCATTCACATATGCTGGAAACATTTGAAATTCTTGCAGAGAGGATTCCAAAAGAAAACGAAAACCATGGAGTAATGCTCCCTTTTGCTCCACTTTCAATCACTTTTGACAACGTTAGATACTCCGTGGACATGCCTCAGGTATTTGGTCTTTTCACCTCATATTTTATGCTCCTTCTAACAAATATTGAACTTCTTTCTATACATTGTTCATAGGAAATGAAAGATAAAGGAATTGTTGAGGACCGTTTGGTCCTACTGAAAGGTGTTAGCGGAGCATTCAGACCAGGAGTTCTCACAGCTTTGATGGGTGTAAGCGGAGCAGGCAAGACAACTCTAATGGATGTTCTAGCAGGAAGAAAAACTGGTGGTTACATAGATGGAGATATCCGTATATCTGGATACCCCAAGAAGCAAGAGACATTTGCTCGGATTTCTGGATATTGTGAACAGAATGACATCCACTCTCCTCATGTTACTGTTTATGAATCTCTCCTTTATTCGGCCTGGCTACGTCTATCGTCTGAAGTTGATACTGACGCAAGAAAGGTTTGTTGAGTAAAACATTCTAGCTTGAGCTTAAAAGAAATTATTTTTTATTTTTATTATTATTATTTTTTTGTTTGAGGCTAAATTCTAGAAATAAATTTCTGCAGTTGTTCATTGAGGAGGTCATGGAACTTGTGGAGCTAAAGACGCTGAGAGGGGCACTAGTAGGTTTACCTGGAGTGAATGGCTTATCAACCGAGCAGCGAAAGAGGCTGACGATTGCAGTAGAGCTTGTAGCCAATCCTTCAATAATATTTATGGATGAACCAACCTCTGGGCTAGATGCTCGAGCAGCAGCCATTGTGATGAGGACTGTAAGGAACACTGTGGACACTGGTAGAACTGTGGTGTGTACAATACATCAGCCAAGCATTGATATTTTTGAAGCTTTTGATGAGGTACATTGCGGTCTAAAAAATATAATTTCAGAATAATTTGCCTAAATTCTGAGATGCTTTCATTTATTTCTATTGAACTATAGCTTTTCCTGATGAAACGGGGCGGAGAAGAGATCTATGTTGGTCCATTAGGCAGCAATTCATGCCATTTAATAAAGTACTTTGAGGTCAGTATCATCTCGAGTTGAAATGTCTATTACTGCCAAAAGCTTAGAAACATGTAACTATCAAATTGTCTTTTTTTCCTTATTTTTCAGGATTTTGGAGTCAGGAAAATTAAAGATGGCTACAACCCAGCAACATGGATGCTGGAGGTCACTACCCAGGCACAAGAGGAAATTTACGGTATTAATTTTGCTGAAAGCTACAAGAACTCTGACCTGTACAGGTTTGCACATCTACACTGAATCTGGCTGAAAAACTATGCAACTTTAGATTTATAGCCTGACTTGCAATGTTTTCTCATTACAGAAGAAATAAGGCTTTGATCAGTGAACTAAGCGTCCCTCCCCCTGGCTCCAAGGACCTCTTCTTTCCAACCGCATACTCGCAACCCTTCTTTACTCAGTGCAAGGCTTGCCTATGGAAGCAGCACAAGTCATATTGGCGCAATCCATCTTACACTGCTACAAGAATCTTCTTCACCTCAGTCATTGCTCTAATATTTGGAACTATTTTCTGGAAACTTGGAAAAAATGTGTAAGTTTGATTGACAAATTAATTCTTATATAAATCTACCATATATCTTCACACCTTCTTACATCAAACTTTATCAATTTACCTTGCAGGAAAAAACAACAAGATCTGTTCAACTCTTTGGGCTCAATGTATGCAGCTGTGCTATTCATTGGAATACAAAATGGGCAAACTGTACAGCCAATTGTGGATGTCGAACGAACGGTTTTCTACAGAGAGAAGGCAGCAGGTATGTATTCTGCTTTGCCTTATGCATTCGCACAGGTATGCTACATGATTTCAAAATGAATGCAATGATTCGTTCGGAAACTCGGTTATATGAATTAATCTCTCTCATCCACTGATGAATGCAGGTCCTTATTGAGATCCCGCACATTTTCCTTCAGACTGTAATTTATGGCCTGATTGTTTATAGCTGCATCTCTTTTGACTGGACAGCAGCAAAGTTTTTTTGGTATTTGTTTTTCATGTTCACCACTTTCCTGTACTTTACGTTCTACGGCATGATGGCGGTGGCCATGACACCAAACAGTGACATTGCTGCAATAGTCTCCACCGCATTTTATGCAATATGGAACATCTTTGCAGGCTATCTAATCCCCCGACCTGTAAGTTTTGTTCGGCAACTTATTTGTTACATCTGAACTGTAAAATAAACGCTAAAGTTGTTTTTTTTGCATCTTTTAGAGGATTCCTGTGTGGTGGAGATGGTACTGCTGGGCATGCCCTGTTGCTTGGACCTTGTATGGATTGGTTGCCTCACAGTTCGGAGACTATGAAACCCCAATGGATGACACTAATGATACTGTGAGGGGATTTATTAAGGAATACTTTGGGTTCAGGCATGACTTCTTGGGAGCAATATCTGCTGCCATGGTTGGCTTTACGGTGCTCTTCGCCTTCGTCTTTGCATTCTCAATTAAAGTATTCAATTTCCAACGACGATAAGAAGTATGATACTCTTCATTCTCTACTGGAAAATTTGTTTATTAACTTCGGAATTCGGGATGCAGATGATTTATGTATAGATAACCCTTGTAGAACCTTTCCCTCTTTTCAGTTTTACTTTTGTCTGGGAGTGATTGTTCCAGCTTTTTGTCAAGTAGTTAAAGAGAATATATTCTTATAATCAGCTTAATGTGAACTTAGTTTGTATTAATCAATGCTGCTGACGATCTATTTTTTTTCTCAGCTATGGAAATGGGAACGCTATTAACGTACGTCATATGCATGCAGTTCTGCGTGCGTACTCCCCCAAATAACATTTCAATAACAGTTATTGGGAGTTATTGAGAGATAATTGGGGGTACTGCGTGCATACTCCCCCAAATAACATTTCAATAACTCAGTTATTGGGAGTTATTGAGAGATAATTGGGGGTATTACCCTAATTAACCTCAATAACTTCCCAATAACCTACCAATATCTTCAGCGGTTCGCACTCATATTTGTTGTTGTCATTTGTGGGGGGGGGGGGGGGTTTAACCCCAATACAATCACGACTTAACCCCTCCAATTCCCCTCGAATAACCGGAGTGCACACGCAGAACTACATGTGAATAACATAAGTATTTATAATTGAAATGGTTCTCTTTTTCTACCATTGGAAAAGGTTAGTTGTTTGGACTAATGTCAATGTTTGATTGTTCTGATAAATAATGCTTACAAAATCACCTTATATACCTGCAAAAGCAAGTAAGCAACTGCATTACTACCCATTTTTCCAAATTTCTTTTAAATTATTACAAACATAAATATTAACTTAAAAATATAAATTTTATTACAATATTTTTTTTTTACTTTTTAATATAATAAAAATTTTAAGGTGGTGAATGCCTTCCTTAATCGCCCCTATGATTTTATCATTAATTATAATAAGAGTTTAATGACATTGTTTGGCTAAGTTGTTCTATTCACCATCAATTTCCTGGAATATAAATCCTCATCTTTTATATAATATTATTTGGAGAGGCATGTGCAATGCCATTCTAATTTTACCTGTAGAATTCAAATAATCTCGTATTCTCACCAGTTATTTATTAGTTGAATCAAGATAATTTAGGATAAACATTTCGCTCTAATTTTTGTCATGTGGATGGTTGGCTAAACATGGGCCGCTCAATCCTTATCTTGCACGATATTTTTAGTGGCCATTGCGCTTATTGTGTCATTTAAAGAATGAATTTTCTGATTTTTTTTGTATTTCAGTTAGTTTTTTTTTTGGCATGCTATGAATTAATGAATCCATGTTTGCCTTTTGGGCACCTCATCCTCCTAAGTGTCACCAGAGCATTTAGATGTGATTGATTCAATCACATGGCAAATTTAAATACTTGATGAAATTTATTGAGGTACTATTATAATTTAATATCATAGCAATGCTTGAAGATCTTGCTCACACATAGATAAAAAAATCTTCTTGGAAACATCAAGATTTTATATGTGAAAAAAATTTGGAAAGAGAGAAAACGACATGAGCTGACAATTAGAATAATCAATAATTAGTTGTACAGAGGTCAACTCTTAACCTAAATTAAGAAGATGAGAGTATAAATTGATGTTGAAATTATAACTGCTTTGAAACAACCAAAAAGGTATAACGGTAAAAGAGTAGTTGGAACTATAACTGTTGTAATTTGATTACTTTAGTCTTGGTGGGGCTATAATAATCGTAATTGGTTATAAAAGTCATAATTAACTATAAATATCATTATAAGTTGATGTTGAAATTATAACTGTTTTGAAACAACCAAAGAGGTACAACAGTAAAAGAATAGTTGGGACTATAACTGTTGTAATTTGATTACTTTAGTCTTGGTGGGGCTATAATAATCGTAATTGATTATAAAAGTCATACTTAACTATAAATGTCATAGTTGGTAGTTATAATAACCATATTTGAGCTACTAAAGTTATAGTTGGGCGGTATAACAATCGTAATTAGCTACAACAATTGTTGTTGATGGTCGATAATAGTTGGTGGTCGACGACCAAATTTAGCGTTCAATCAAAATATCGGGTAACAACTGTTTAGACTTTAGGAGTTAAGATCAAGAAAGCTCACTCTTCTCTACTCCTCCTTCCCTTTTAAGTGAAAAACGGGGGCCTAATTATAGCTTTTAAGAAAGACACTTTGGTAAATATAGCTAGAATCTCAAAACACTTTATCAGACAGTTCACATTAATACTCTTGATCACATAAAGTTTTTTCAATACTTAATTGTCGCAATGACATTGAAATTGAATAATCTTAGGCTCATTCAATTTATCTCGTTGAGCCACTCCATTTAACTATAAACAAGCCAAAATTTGAAATTATTTGGCCTTTCAATTGATGCACCAAAGCCTACAAATACACCCTAAGTGTTAATTCGGGCTTATTTTGACTTAGATTGGATCAATCTTGTCATCATTGGGCTTGCCTTATCAAGATGGTTAGTTTGACAATAAACTTGTTGAAGTCGAGGCCCGGATGATCTTTCATTTGAATATGAAATATTTCTTGCTCAAAATACGCTGAAATTCATGCATAATGATAATTAACAATATATTGGCAACATACCCCTTCTATTTTTAGATGTTGATACTTATGTTGTCAAAAAATATAAGTTATTAGAAATATACTCATCATTGTGTAACTTTAACATGTTCGAACAATTCATACTGAAATTCATGCATAATGATAATTAACAATATATTGGCAACATACCCCTTCTATTTTTAGATGTTGATACTTATGTTGTCAAAAAATATAAGTTATTAGAAATATACTCATCATTGTGTAACTTTAACATGTTCGAACAATTCATACTGAAATTCATGCATAATGATAATTAACAATATATTGGCCACATACCCCTCCTATTTTTAGATGTTGATACTTATGTTGTCAAAAAATACGAGTTATTGGAAATATACTCATCATTGTGTATCTTTAACATGTTTGAACAATTCATACATTAATTGGAATGAGAATCTTTAACATTCAAATTACCCAAAGTTACTCATGAATGCTTCATAGAGTAGTAAAAATGCTAAAATTATTTCTAGAATTTTAAAAATGATTGAATAGATACTTCCCAAAAGACTTGGCAATATAGTTGTGTTGGAGATATTTTTTGTGATGTATATCCATCATAGATCTCAGAAGATTTCTATTTAAATGATCATTTGCATCATTTGAAGAATAGTATACTACCTTTAGAGATAAGAATATTACCTTAAATGGATCTAATCACTTAGATGAGGAAAGTCATCAAGATTTATAGATCTGTTGAACCAAGAGTTTTTCCCCTACCTTATTTTGGGGTTTAGTATCCCTATGAGAGTAAGTCATCGTAGTGAATTACATTTCAAGAGTTGTGGCTCCTGAGAATACTCTCGATTATAGTATTGACATATATTTATGTGTGTAAGTGTGCGTAAGATTGATGTTTCAGGACTCACCTTGACAAAAATAGTTTTGAAAAGATTTAAATAAAACTAAAATGGTTGAGACACATTTGAAGAGTTGTGGCTCCCCAGAATACTCTTGATTATAGTATTGACATATATTTATGTGTGTTTATACAGAAAGTGTGCGTAAGATTGATGTTTCAGGACTCAACTTGACAAAAATAGATTTGAAAAGATTTAAATAAAACTAAAATGGTTGAGACTTATAGTCCACTTACGATGTTTTATGGAAAAGTTCAGGAAAAGGGTTAGTCAACTCTGGGAAGAAGGCATACCTTAAGAGTTGGAATTGTGAATTTAACGGAAGGGGGTTGAATTTTTTTTTTTTTGGTTGATTTGATTTGAAGAGATTTATTTTGAGTTTATCTTGGTTTAAAGAGATTTGACTTGAATGTTTCACTTGAGATGAAAACTTGAGCTGGATGGATTTGATTTCATTTGAACGTTTGATTTGAGTTAATTTGATTGGAGTGATTAGGGTTTTCCTTAAGTTGTTCACATTATCTATTTGAATTGTCTTTGAAGATATTTTGGAAGAAATTTGAAGATCTTTGAATTTTATTTCAAGGTTTGTTTGAAATTTTTTTTTCTATAGTTATTTAAAAATATTTGAGGATTTTTTGAAATTTAAAATTATTATAAAATATTAAAAAATTGTTTGGAATTATTTGGAGGTTATTAAGTTTCACTTGAGAGTTATTAAGATTGGTTAAAGTTTGTTTGAAAATTATAATTAATTAGTTTTAAGGTTGTTAAAAGTTTGTTTGAAATTGTTTAATAAGAAAATTTATTAAGATTTTTAAAAGTTTGTCATTTTTTTTAAAGTTTGTTAAAAATCGTTGATGTTTGTTAAGTTTATTAAATTTTATTAAGGTTTTGTTACAATTTGTTAAATTTTGTTAAAGTTTGTTAAATTTTGAGGTTTATTAAAGTTTGTTAAAGTTTATTAAACTTTATTAAGGTTTATTTGGAGCAGTTTGAAATTTCAAGAAAAGCAGATGAAGTTAGGAAAGTTTGAAGTTCTTAAAAGTTTTAATTTTTTGAAAATTGTAATTGTTATAGGGCTTTAAAAAGGCATCTTTGAATTAAAAAGAGTTTGGTTCATGTTTGGAAGAATTTAGGGTTTTGAAAATGTTTTAGTTTTTTTAATAGGCTTTTGGATTAAAATAGTTTTGATTTTTGAAAAGCTTTTTAAAGTTAGTTTTGGTCTTATACTAAAAGAGTTTTGTGTGGATTAGAAATGTTTGATTTGAGCTGAGAAGAACTTAAGGACTTTGAATCCTAAAGTAAGGGGTTGGATATACTAGAAGGATTTTTAGATGGAAGTGAAGCACTAAACTTAAAATGAAAATAATTTATACAAGGAGGCTAAATGGGTTAACTAACCTAAATTTTTGTTATAAAGCCCCTGATTAAGATGATCATGACTTTCCATCGTCCAAATTGCATTAGGATCCTTATAAAATTAACCAGCTGGATAACACAAGGTATCCACTGTTACATAGTGATAAAAAATATAGATCTTCTTACTATGAGGTTATTTGTTGTGCCTTTGTTAGTAACTATGAGTTACTTCATTCTAGGGCATCTACATAATCAAATGGGAAGAATTTATTTGTTTTATATGTCATAATTTTTAACATTAATTAAGGGTACCAAAATCTAACTTTGGCTTCTAGAATGGACTAT